TCACAGGAGACAAAGGCAAGATGGGCTGGAAATGAGGGTCACCTGCACACATGCAGCAATTCCACCTGCATCTGTGTGCTGAGCTGGAGGAGGCTGCAGAGCACTGAGCGAGGTGTCCCCTGAAGGAGCTAAATGAAGGGAGCCCTGCCAGAGTGTCGTGGCCACTGGATTCTACCACAGACTCCATCGGCCACTTACTCATCAGCGCAGGGGCACAGAGCAAGCTGGGAAAGAGCGGTAACGAGCCCCCGCTTCAGAGCCACAAGTCAGAGAGGCGTGGCTCATCACTCCTGGGTCTCATTTCTCAAAAATGCCATCCTCCAACAGTCACCGGTCATGGAAACCATCACCCAACCCCCTGCCCAGAACCCACTCCCAGGAAAGTGCTCTCAAAGGGCAAGGGTTTCCTGCTATGGCACCCCATACCCAGTGGAGACAGAGGAAAGATCTCAGGGAGCAGAGAGAGACCAGAGTGCGGGACAGGGTGGCTGGCGGAGGCAGGCAGAAACCAGGGGTGGGAGGGGTTCAGGGGGTGCTGCAGAGCCTCTGGGGGGTGATTCAGGGGTAGGATTTGGATGGAGAGTTTCAGAGGACAGACAGACAGGAAAGATGAGCTGGGAGGGGGCTGGTGATAGAACCCAAGGCCTTCGGCTGGGACAGAGGGCAGAGAGGTACGGGAGGGCCTTCTGGCTTGGAGAGGGAAGGGACGATTGAGACACCCCAGCTGGTGCAAGAGCCCCAGTCAGCACCTCATCACCCCCACTACCCCACAGGACTGTCTCCCAGACCCAGATGACAACCCTAGGCCTAAGAGTGTATGATTATTCTTGGCAGATAGAAATCCTTTTGCCTTTAGCAAAGCAAAAGATGCATGCAGGATGTTCTGTTCTTGGTAGAAGTTCCTTTTTTTAAGTGAAAAACTTTTGTTAATGCCATTTGCTTCCAAGTTGTGACCCGCCCTGTGTCCCTTACCTGGGGATGTACCTCACCGACCTGGCCTTCATCGAAGAGGGGACGCCCAATTACACGGAGGATGGCCTGGTCAACTTCTCCAAGATGAGGATGGTGCGTGTGCCATGGTGGGGTGAGGGGCAAGGGGAGCATCAAAACCCAGCCTCAACCTGGGGCCCACTGTGCCCACCAGGCCCAGTCTGCTCTGTGGGGCCCCCACTTGGTAGCCTGAGTCCAGCTTCTCCAATAAGATCCATCACTGTCATTAACGAGCAGTTAGCATTTGGCAGGCCCTGAGCCAGGCTTCGCTGCATTTCGTCCTGTAATCTTGACAGTCCACGAGGTGGACGATATTATTCTCCACCTTACGGAGGAACAGACTGAGGCTCAGCAAGGTCAAGTGACCAGGTCAAGGTCACCCCACAGGTAAAGAGCAGAACCAGGTCTGGAACCAGGTGACTCCAGAACCCAGCCTTTATTCGCACCCCACCTGTTATTGTTCATATAGACACTTGCATTATGTGTCCAGAGTAAAATCACTTATGCAGCACCTCCTAAGAGAGGAGGTGTCAAATTTTCCCAGAAAAATCAAGGACCTGGCACAGGGGCAGAGGAGACCTCTCCAAGCAGGAGCAGGATCTCTAGCCGTCTCCTTCTCCCCTCTCGCTTCAACCAGAGAGCCTCTACTTTACCAGTTTTGTAAATTGGGCTTCCACATGAGATTGTGTTTAATGGGAAGGGTTTGTCTGTCAAACATAATAAGTTGGAAACACTGTCCTTCCAGGAGGTAACATGTACAGAATTAAGGGTCTGACTTTGGACTTAGCGATTGTTACCCCTTCAGTTCTGCAAAACTCAGGGTAGCGCCAAGAGAGCAAACTGTCTTCTAAAACTAACCTTCCTTCCCACAGATATCCCATATTATCCGAGAGATTCGCCAGTTTCAACAAACTGCCTACAAAATAGAGCACCAAGCAAAGGTAAGCAGCAGCGTTTTCCCATTACGTCACTCTTTCAATTGCTCTGGCTGGACCAGATTCCACCCTTTCCCCCTCCACGCCCCACAGTTTCCCTTCCTGAATTCTCTCGGGCCCAGCTCAAATGCCATCCCCTTAAGGAAGCCTTCCCTACTCCCTGCCCCTGGTCAGAAGTGAGCTGTCTCTCCTTCAAATTGAGTCTAACCAGGCCTGAGCTCACTTGGTGACTCTCGTCTGATTTTTACCTGCCATGGGATGGTTTATAATCATGTCTCATCTCCCCCAGAGCAAGAGAGACAGAGTTTATAACATCTTTTTTTTTTCTTAATAATACATCTCAGGATCACTCCCTATTAAGACAGAGGGAACAGGGGGTTTCTTGTCTCCGTGGATGGGTTAAGGCTGAGTGAGGGGATTGTGAGGGGACTGGTGAGGAGGTCCGATATGGCTGAAGAGGTGGTCACTGGCAATTGGACAGCTAAGTCCTACAGGGAAAGAGAGAAGCGTTTAAAGGCAGGAGGTCTCGAACTTCAGTGTGCATCAGAGTCAGATTCCCCAGAAACAGAGAGTCTTACTGTATGTAACTTTTTTTTTAAGTAAGATGATGGTCAGTGTTGACAAAGCCACTTTGCTGATAGTGTTGGAAAACACTCTTTTGAAAGAAATATATTAAAATGAAGTAAGAAACCCAATAATCCTACTCATAAGGATATATGCTAAAAAAAATTTTGTTGAAGCTAAAGGCCATACCCTACAAGATAGCCGTTGCAGCCATTATTATATATATAAAACAGTAAAAAATTTGAAAACAACTTACATATCCAACACTAGGGGAAGAGTTTAGGAAAATATGGTATGGCAAGATGAAAAAGTAAAACTTTGAAGATCATGTTATGGAAACACGAAAATTTTTCATCACAGTATAAGTGCAAGTATATCAAATGCTGCCCATTCCATAGTTACAATGATGTAAAAGTAGTTTTATATTTTATGAACTAGACGATCACACAGAAAAATGAAAATGGTTAATCTAGATTGGTAAGATTACGGGCTTTTTTTTTTCCCCTCCAAAAATGTATTTAATATTGTCACATCCTTTTTTTCTATAATAAAAAATAATATTAAGAAAAAAAATCCACATAACTCGCAGTGTTCAGGGGGCTCTGTTTGTGTTCATCCAGCCCAGGAACCACAGAGTTGCCACGTAGACCACACAGAAGGCACCGCAGTCACATCACTCCCCAGAAAGTCTCAGAAGTTACCAACAAAATTTCAGGGTTTTCTTCTGTCTCTTGCCCCTTTCTCCTTAAATTTTCTCTCAAGCTCCAACGTGCAATGCAAATAAATATTGCTGCATTTCAGGCCTCTTTCATCAACAGCTTTGTGATGGTGGCATTTAATGCCAGGCTTCTGCTAAAGTCAAACGTCTCAGGGAAATGGGTCTTGAGCACGCTCATTACGGAGGAAACTACCTAGCCAGACTGCTGATCCCCAGATGGCTTGGGACGGTAGCAATTTGTGTGTTCTAGAAAGGACTGTTCACATGAAGCTACTGGCTAGGCGCAAATACTAGTCTATCTCACGTGGTCGTGAAACCGCCACGTCTTTCTCAGTGGGTACGGGTTAAACCGGACTCTGATGTCTGAAGTCATCTTCCTAGAGGCACTGTGTACGAACTGTTAATCAGACACAATAATTTTACTGTGACAGTTCATCAGCAGACTAGACAGCTGGTTCCATCCTTCACAGCAGCAGAGTCAGTCAGCCAAGGCAAAAGCCACAAATACTTGATTTTTCTCAAGCAGCTGTTGAATATCCCCAAGCACATAGTAAGAAATGTAATTTTTTTCTTTCTGTTCTGGGTTTCTGTGGGGGGAAAGGCACGTTTGGTTTCAAACAACTGACAAATAAATGAGCCTTGGAAAGTCTCTTCTTGGAGCTGGGGGCTGCCTGCCGGGTTTGGGCTCTGAGCTCTCACCGCAAAAGTAGGGAAAGGAGAGAGGAAGGAAGAAAACCTAATTCATGTGAGTCAGTCTTCCTGATTTTCCACGCTTAAGGTTGTTTCCCCAGAGTGAGCCATGTGAGGTCAAAAAAAAACAGAGGGTGAGATTTTAATGTTTACATATATTTTGTCCCAACATTTTATTAGGAAACTTCGAATATACAGCAACATTGAAAGAATTGCGAACACCCATACACTTACCACCTAGATTCTATAATTGACATTCGACATTTATTTTTAAACAAGCCCAAAACATTTGATCAAGTGCTCAACCAATGAGACAGCAGTCACAGGTAATTTTGACCATATGTGATTTAATACTAAGATAATATTAAATAATAATACGAAGACAAACTACATTACAACAAAACACTACTGAACACGTTGCCTCATGTGCCCACGTGACTCCCCCATAAAACGCCTGGGTCCCTGGAGACGCCCCGTAGCCAGTCTTAGTATTAAGGAGGTCCCATAACCAACCCCACCATTCCTTTCTCTCCTTCCCTTTCTTTGCTCAGGTAACCCAATATTTACTGGACCAATCTTTTGTAATGGACGAAGAAAGCCTCTACGAGTCTTCTCTCCGAATAGAACCAAAACTCCCCACCTGAGGCTGCGCCCAGCCCAGCCCCAGCCCAGCCCCTCCCGTGGACACGTGCTATACGATATTGTACATATATTCGTTTGGTTTCTCTGGATTTTCTTCTTCAGTATGTGCTTCTCTAAGAATACAAATCCGTTCTTGTTCTTAGATTCCTATAGAACCGGAGTGTGAGTTTCTGCACCGTTTAAGACCGCCCACACCCCCTGTCTCCTGCAGTGCCTGTTTCTTTTAAACAGCTGTACTCTTAGTCTGTCCTTCCTAGACGCCTCCCTCTTCCCAGAAGGGGAAACAACCCGTGCATACATGACTCTTAGACTCCAGTCCTGCTTCCGTCCTTCCTCTGCCCAGGCCCTGGGTTGAGTTGACCACCCAGGCATCCTCCCAGCACGTTCCATGTAGTTGCTATAACTGGGTGGGGGGGGTGGGGAG